TCTTTCCCTCCTTCGCGGATGCGGAACAAATCGAACGGAAGAAAACGCGCCGCCGTCCACCGACGGCGCCAAACTTCTCGACGATCGCTGGCCCCTTCTCGAAGAAAGCTTCGACGAAAGACAAACTTCACGGCGTGGACGAAAAGAGAAAGAGAGAGAGAGAGAGAGAGAGCGCGTGAGAACGAGACGCCGACGAGCGTCGCGTAGTACAAGGAACGTTTTCGTATTCCCCGGCCCTCGTTTTACACGTCGTCGTTACGAGGGAGAAACGCACGGGACAACGCACATACGTAACGCACGGTGTGACATTCGCGGTACGACTGGATGTGGTGGGGCGACGCTACGCCGCGAGGACAGAGGGTTCGTCGCTTCGGCAACGTTCGGCAATGTTCGGCGGTCTTCGCGTCGCCGCGCCGCGCGACTCCGACTACTCTATTCCACTACCGGCACGTCGGATGGTGCGCGTGTAGGACGTAGGACGCGATCGGTCGACCTAACGGCCACTTCCACTCGCACTGATTCACCTCCCCGCGTTTCATTCTCTTGGGCTGCGCGCTCGCCACCTCTATCCACCACTATCGCCACCACCCTCCACGGATGGGATTCGGCAGCGAGAGAGACAAGGTATGGATCTCTTTCTTCTTCTTCTTTTTCTCTCTCTCTCTCTCTCTCTTCTCCCTCTCTTTTTTTCTCCGCGCTCCATGTCCATTATCCACTCGGATTACAAGCCGGAGAGTATTTCGCTTTCGTACGCGCGTAAACGGCTTTAACATCGGGGAGATTGTTTTTCGTCCTGGTCGCTGCCGAGCTGCGAACGCGGCGGCTGCGAATGCTGATGCGTTCGCCTATATTTCATCGATGAATGTCTCGGGTGTCTTTTATTGTCCGCATATTATCGTCCATACGATATCCTCGTAAAATTTTGCTCTCTCTCTCTCTCTCTCTCTCATATCGAGTTTCCATATATTGCGAGAAAGAATATGAGTCAACCTTTTTAGAAGCAAGTTCGAAAATTATTCGTATTTCGTAAAGATTGTAAGTCAATGATGATTTCGTAATTATTTTTATTTCACGAAAGACTTAATAATAAACAATAACGTGAACTTTCTTACTTCTGACAAGTTTTTAATGTACGTGCGTTTTTTATGATAAGCGATTTATTATCAAACAAAACAAGAAAGAGCTCTTTATATGTATATATCTATGTAATTTTAGTTGAAAATATTTTTTCCAGAACACATTTTTTTATTCTTTCGTTAAAAGCGTTACCATCTCGCGTTTTAATAAATGCTTTATCACGAAAAGAATTTCAATGTAAAGGTAAAAATTAAAATGTTAATGTTTGCAAAGAATTTTTTACTTCCTACTGTTTGTTCAGAAAATCAACTAGAAATACTGCGTACTTGCAAACATAGTGAGAGAGAGAGAGAGATCAACTTTTCTAGATTAAAAATATCCCAATGTGTCTACGTCTTCAAACGACTTATTGTATCATAATTCGAGTCGAAATTTTTCTCCTGCTTTTGATCTCAATTTTTAATCCAACATCTACTTTGACACTTTAAAACATCAGATCATCCTTTTTTTAACCTATAATCTTGTCGAAAGCTTTTCTTTTAAATCTCTAAACAAGTAACTATACGCGTACTGTTCAGAGGTATAAAGTAGGATTTAATTCTTATATAATTCAATTCCTATATAAATTAAATCTATCGAAATCTTCTCGAATCCATAAACGTAAGAAAATTGAGATTAAAAAGAAGCAAAATTTCGATACGGAAAAATTAAATGCTTTGCAGCGTTGAAATCTTTTCTGAAATTACAAAGAAAGATATCGAGATATTCTGCTAACAGAGTTGGTATTATTTGATTCGTGGACTATTAAAATCAATATCTCGTCACTGTTTAGAATAATTAAATGAGAAGTCAGCAAATAAGAGTCTTTTCTTCACATTTTGCTATTCAGAATACAAATTCAGTTCGTAAACCGTATCGAATAATCGTGTTCAATAATTCGATAGAAATATTGTCAGTTTATCTTCCTCCGTCATCCGTGTTATCTCAATATGGAACGACGTGATGAATTAGAAATGTATACAACCGCTTATAGTCCCTGTATAGTTTCAACTTCGATCGTACAAGTTCTAAATAAGGAACAGGGTCTCGACCGGGACGTCGGTTTACCTCGCTAGTTTTATCGAAAGAAAGAGAGAGAGAGAGAGAGAGAGAGAAAGAATCATAATGTTTTTATTCTCTTTGTATATACAGGATCTTCTAACTCTAAAATATAAACCAAATTAATGCGACGAGACATTTCTGTTAAGATGGCATCTTCAGTACAAGAAATTACATTTGCGTACTTGTATATATCATATAATTAAATCTTAATTTAATTTTTGTAAGCAATACATCAAAATTTTTATTCAGTGATCTTGTATCTCTAGTTTCGCTATGTTTACATTTCTCATGCGACTCGAAACGACGTCTAGCCAAGGATAAAATTAAGCTCATGTGCCATCTTCGTGAGAGTAATGGATGTTTCGAAATTGATATTTGTTTAGACAATCTTCGAGCGTTGGAGGGTCGCAAACGTTCGTAGCGCAGAGTTAATTTGGAATCTCTTTCTCTCTCTCTCTCTCTTTCAATTTTATAACGTTATAATATATTTATCTTGTTCATAACATAAACTGAAATTTTTAATTTTCTGGCGTTTTTAATATCGCTATTTGTGATATTTTTCATCGCGTTTATGTACCTCTCAATTTGGGCAATTAAAGTTTTGTCAATTACATAATTAAATTTTAATGTATTAAAATATGCAATTCGGAATATATTGGAATTTCAAAATTTTTTGCTGTTTATAAATCCAATAATGGAATATTTTTCATCTTCTCATTCTCGAGTTTAAAAATGCATGGGTAAAAAAATTTTCTCATTCTACTTTAACGGTATTTTTTTTCCATTCCATTTTAAGCGTATCTGTTGCTTCCGGACGATTGGTTTGTCATGCTTTGCGACAAGGTAATATTCTTTCCCGACTCTCGTCCCTTTAGTAACTATTAATTAACGACGGTCCCAGAGGTAGAGTGCGATACTTGAGCTAGGACCGTGTGAATTCACGTCCAACGCTCTCCACATTCGTATCTATCGCTCTCGTGTAAGTTTCTCGGACATGCATAGATTTCATTCGTTTAATTCGCGAACACGAGGGCCTTCTTGTACCAGGTCCTTGCGTATCTTTCTAAGGCCTCAGGCGGTCGTTTAATTCAAGCGCATAAATCTATGTTATAGCGAAACTGTTATTCATGCGACGCGCACGAGCGTGCACGATAGCCTTACACACGCAAAGTCCTTGACAGACATATAATATTTTATTACTTAAGGAGGCAAAGGAGGTTTATATTTTGACTTATATATATTTTTACTTGTACCGGGGTAATGTGGAACGTTTGTTGAATCGTTCTATACTTTGCAGTTTAATAACATTGTTTCTCTATTACACGGTTCATTAATCTGCTTCAATCTGAAACCTCCGTACCTTCGTATCTCTCCACAACACCCGATAACAGCGGTATTAACGAGTATCTTGAAATCTGGGCAGCTATCCAAGATTATCGGTCGGATGTTTGTTCCGTCTGAGGTTGCGCCAGCGCTATCCGGCTAGCGGCAATTACCAAACACTGTATTAGGGAACATTGATCGACGGAATCGATCGTGTCCCCGCCGTTGTGTGCACGCGCGGCGGATACGTACAACGAGAGCGACCCCTCGGCCTACCCAATCTCTGCTGGCTAGGCAGAGGAAGCGATTATAGACTACATCCTGGAGCGCGCTCGTTCCGTGCACGCTCGCTAAATCGAATCGAATGCCGGCCGGACGGCGTGTGCGAGGCAATCGTCGCAAAAGGCGAATCGATACGATACGATATGAACGACCGATTCCGTTGTTTGTATGAATATCTGCGGTAATCATAATCGATGGATGTTAGGTAACGTCGTGCGACGAGCGACCGCCGCTCTGTGTATGCAGAATGTTTCGCCCGATTATCCGCTTCCGCTTATTAATTAAATGTAGGTGTGCCTAAATTAAAAGGAAAATTATACGACATAGCAGCACAACATTTCAAGGGAAGAGAATATGTATAAAAAAATATTTGAAACTGTTGGAAACATAATTTTTTAAGGGAAATACACATTTTTAGTTGATATATTAAAAAATAACAAAAGAATGTATAAATATAAAAAAAAAATAGATGTAGATATCGCACGCTATTTTTGGAGAAAGACTGTTATACTTTCAAATTATTATATAAAAATTAAAGAGAAAAGACATTTATATAATTCGATAATTACTCTAAAATTTATTAAATATTAAGTTGTGTGCGCGCTAAATATTAAAAGAATTCTCCGCTTTTAAATCGACAAAGGATGAACAAATTCGAATCTACATGATCAGGCCTGTTAATTGACACGACCATCGTCGGAATAAGTCTTTGTTGGAGCGAATATCCTTTACGATCGTAACGCGAGTCCCATCAAAGCGAAGAGAAAGCACCGCGTCTGGAAGTTGCTGTAGCGTTTCGATGCACTGCACGCGTCGCATTCCAATCTCCTATCACCGTCGTCCCGAATTCACTCGAGGGACCCTTCGAGCCGACGACTCGTTTCTCATTTTCCCAGACATCGGGCACGGCACGATCGGTACATCATTCCGCGGGTACAAGAACATCCCGCCTGACGCCGATATATTTCTTATACCTCTGTCGCTGCCGTTGCACGTTGCACTTGCTTACACTTAATGCTCCCATCTTCCTTTTCTTTTATCTCGCGGACCAACCAAAGACAGCGAGTCTTAAGTACGGACAAATTGCTCGAAGAGTTATCCTCTTACCGGTCGTAGCACTAATCTCTGGATTTCCGAAACGTCTCGTACACGGCTCCTCGGACGGGAAACAGCCAGCTAACATGGAATT